GAATAAGTAGATAACTCCCTAATTCCCACGATATTAGGGAGCTATTTACTAAAAAGCTGAAAGACCTAAATTGGTCTTTCAGACAAATTTACTAATACTAAGTAAAGATTACTTAGTATTAGTAAATTATGCCCCTACTCACTATACTGTGAGTAGGGGCATGTCTATTAAACAGTGAGCAGCTCACTGTTAAAAAAAAAAATAGGGACCTATTGCCTCCATTTTCCAATTTAGGGCCCCCACCCACCGCTCAGGGGTGGGAGCCAGGGGGCGGACATAACGTCCCCCCCTCTTATTTTACTGTAGGGCCCCCACCCGCCGCTCATGGGTAGGGGCTGGGGGGGGCAATAGGTTCCCCCCTTTAATTTAAAAGCCCCCATTCGCACGTCGCGGGTGGGTGCTCGGGAGGGGGGACCCTATTTTTTTTTTTTTTTTTTTTTGGTAGACATGCCCCTACTCGCGGTATAGCGAGTAGGGGCAAAATTTACTAATACTAAGTAATTTTTACTTAGTATTAGTAAATTTGGCTGAAAGACCAATTTAGGTCTTTCAGCCTTTTGGTAGATAACTCCCTAATACCGTGGGAATTAGGGAGTTATCTACTAAGCGGCTGCAAGAGAAGTCCCGAAGTGCCGAAGTCCAGAAATGACGAAGTTCCGAAATTCCGAAGTGTCGAAGTGAAGTTGCCGAATTTCCGAAGTGTCTAAGTTCCGAAGTGCTGAAGTGCCGAAGTTGCCGAAGTCCCGAATTGCGAAAGTCCCGAATTTCAGAATGCCGAACCGAACCAAAAATTTTCCCCATGCACATGCCTACAGAGTAGCTCTGTTGGGGTCCCAGCTTCAAAGAGGAATTTAGGTTGTAAACTTTCTGCCCTCCCATACAATCAAATTAACCCCTTTTGGAATGGACCTTCACCAAGCAGCCAGTTCACCTATGCACTACACAAATTACAATAAATTACAATATTCCATAGTGCAACAATGAATTATGTACCCTTGCCATGACAGCCACCATCTGCCGGCAATGGGTGTGTGGGGGAACAATAGGTCCCGACCTTTTTTACTTAGACCTCCTCACCTGCAGGCAATGGGTGGGGGCTGAGGGGGAGTCTATGTCCCCCTTTTAGTATAATAGCCCCTACTCACGGGGCACAGCTGCAGACATAATGTCCCCCTCTTGTTTATTATTTTGTGTTTGTTTTACGGTTCCAACTCACAGCATGGCAAGTAGGGGCAGAAGGGAGGTTATAACCTCCATTATTTACTAATACCAAGTATTTTTTACTTATTACTAAAGTTGGCTAAAAAGACTATGCTTTTTCAGCTTTTTAGTAGATAGCTAATACTTGGGATTTAGGGGGCTATCTACTGAATGACCGCGTGGCCCAGATCAGAATTTCATTCCCCGAGTGAAATTCCGAACCAAACAAATGACCAAATGGACTATCCGAGAGAAAATAAGGCAAAGAATTTCGCCTGACAGTGAATGAGGCAATGGATGAAATTTGTTTCAGACAAAGCAAAATTTTTAAGCAAGCATTTCTCTCCTCTACTGGTTACACCCCTCGGCTTTTCAAGCAAACAACAAGTCATGTTACCACATGGTTTGATTATTGGGAGCTTATTTGCACTGAATTAAAGAGGCAGAAATTGCCTTGCAAAGACTTCTCATTGATCTGTATTGGGAAGTCTGTGATTGAAGAATCACATAAAGTATGAATGGGGTTAGAAGAGGAGGGCTTGCAAAGGCAATAGATAAAAGATCTGTAGTTTATTCCAGCTGTTTTTTGATATAACCCCAGTATAAAAGAGCATAATTATATGCACGCAAGTTTTTATTTCGGGCATATCTACTTAACAGTGATTTCTATTTATTTTGTATTTGAGCAGTGGAGTGTCCCTTTAAGGTCCTTGCTTCAATTTCTCTCATTCAATGATTTTTTAAAAATCAATACAGCTAGTTTATCCATCTCGTGAGAATATAATTCCATCCATCCTGGGATCTTAATATTTTTTGTGGTCCACCGTTTGAGCCCTTGGCAAATTGTTCCTAGGCAATGCTCACTTTCTATGAAAGCAGTTTTTTAATTTTTTTTTATTTGGTAGCAGATACAAGCCTTCTCAGGCTCTCCACCATACAAAAGTTTCCCATCAGGACAAAGTAGTCCTCAAGCTTAGCCCATCTTTCTAACCCAAAGTTCTAAGAACCTCTACTATTAAAGGGACACTCCAGTTCCAGGAAAACAAACCATTTTCCTGGCACTGCAGATACCCTCTTTCTCCCACCACCCATCCCATGTTGCTGAAGGGGTGAAAACCCTATAATTAACAAAGAATCTCTCTCATTGGGAATGAACCCACCTGGAAAATTAAAACTCACCCTACCAGAGTGGTAGCAACTTTATGGTCAAAATGATTTCAAGCCACTCCAGAAATAATCTGTAGAACAGCCATGTGGTCTTTGTTATATATCTTCACAAAACATTCTAGGCTGGACATCTTGGACTATAGAGAAGACCTGACCCTTTGTGTGGTGTTATTTTCTTGCTATATCCCTACTGCACTGCCGCTTATCGACAGGAAAACCAGAAATTTTACTTACCATAAGTTATATTTGTATTTTTTTTTAAATTCTTTATTTTTATTGTGCAGGTGAGTACATGGTGTCAACGAATGCCACAACAGCGTATAACAAGATCAATACATGTTAGACAGTGGCATGAGAATATGCACATTTTTCTATATTTTTTATAACTAAACAGTTATAGTATCTAAGTTAAAGTAGAGGAGACAAATAATAATAAGGACAATCGACAATTAGAGCTTAACAATGCTAAATTAGCCGTATTAATGCAGCTAGCACTTTATGGCAGGTTACATACCAGCTAAATCATTTCAATAGTCGCTCAAATAGCTGCTATATGCTTACAAGTCAGGTTTTTATCTTGGCTTGTTTTGCCGTATATTGTGGCATGGTTTGTCGGCAGGGTTATGTGAAGCATAAAACTATTAACTACTAACATGCCGGGCTAAACAATGCAAGAAGAGTTTAGTTGTTCGCGTTTTAATATGGGCACCTACTGCAGGGTGTGTGTTCAAAGGTTATCGCTAGTGGTGACCATGGCCTGTGAGCTGCTTAGAGAAGTGGCCAGAATGTTAGGTGGAGATAAATATAGGTTAAACACAACATGTCTAAATTAACGATTAAAAGAGAGGTACTTCAATATACAAACTCATAGACATGATATGGTTGACGCTTAAAGTATAATGTGTAGGTAGCGTGATGAGAGATCATAACAGTAGACATAAAAGAAAATATAACATTTGCACGTCATTAAGCATTACTGTTTGCTTGTAGAGCACTGTGGTTCGGAGTTGTGTGTGTTTATGCTTTCTGCTCTCCATGGTTGTCAGTCCTGGACACCTAGTTTAACAGGCTTAAACTGAGGGATTATGGGCCTGGTGCTGACCTGTCCAGAGACTTTGTGTAGAGAGTCTCTATTAGCCGATGCCGTCTCTTGTGAAACAGTGAGCATTGGTTGGTGTGGTGTTGAAGGCTGCAGCAGCGGTGGGCAGTGTGAAGATATCCTTCCAGCCCCAGGCTGTTATGTAGGCCTGCATCTCGGTGCCACAAACTCTGCAACTACTGGAGCCTGAGTTTCTTCCCCTGACGGGGGCAATGGAGGGCCTGATGGGCTTTGGCCGCTTGCGGTGATAAAGCCTCCTTGCGTGTGGGCGATGCATCCGGGTCTTCTCCCTTTTGGCCTTCAGCCCGGGTGGGCTCTGTGGTTTGGGGGTCTGTGGGTCGCCTGTCGCTGTGCCCAAGGGTACACTTCCCTGTCCCCGCCGCCAGTTGCCTCTCTTACCTGCCATCCGTGCAGGTTTCTGAATGATTTGTGCTGCTCTCATGTGGTCTCTGAGTTGTGCCCAGAAGCGGCTGAATATTGCGTTCAGGCGCTGTGCGGTGTCTTGTAGGATCATCGTATGCTGTAGCTGATTCAGTGCAGGCAGCGTGGTGACGGCCGCCATCTTGGGGGAGCAGTGTGGGCGCCAGCACTGCTTTATCTTCTTTTCGCGTCTCCGTGTAGCTGGTGTCTCCGAACACACTGTGCGGACCGGGATGACCCCCGCCGGTCCAGAGGGGGCGGGTAGGAGGTGAGTAGCGTGGAGGTTCTATGTGCAGGGTCGCCTGCGAGGAGAGAGGCCGCCTCTCCCCTACAGGGTCTCGAGTAGGCCTCTTGGTGCTGGTGCCGGTTCCCGGTAAGTAGCGGGTTAATGACTGGTATCAATCATTTTGCCCGGGTGTCCCCGACTATGCTGTCACCCTCCAGGTGCTGTGTGTGCAGTTTTATTGGGGTCTTTGCCCCGAATCGTGCCATTATGCTCAGGAGCTCTGTTTCAGCACGTCCATGCAGCCTGGAAGCCAGGCTCCGCCCCCCCATAAGTTATATTTTCCTTACTATGAGCAGCAGTATAATTACCCTCCCTATTTATGTAAGTATTATACTTGGCATTTGTAATGGTGGATTCGTTAATTAGGGTTTTGACAGGTTTAGCAATTGCCTGAGCTTCAACAGAATTGCTGGGATTTGATCTGGTTTTTCATTTTTTAGATTATTAAGGTGTTTCTTAATGAGTAAAGAGAAGCTGCCAACCTAAAAGGAAAAGCAGCCCAATGTGTCCGGGGCAACCTTACTTAGGGGATAACCCTCAAATATATGAAATAAATAAACAGGGAGACCTTGGGATGAAGGGAAAGGGAGGGGGAGGAGAAAAACACACACACCCTCACCACCTTCACCCACAAGGGTCAGCCAAAAAGGAAGCCCCTGCCTGAAGAAAAATGCTAAAACTTAACCTTTAATCAGAAAAAATAATAAAAAATGTCATAATAGAAATAGTAAAAAGAAATGGAATAAAAGGAGAAAGAGGGAGCAAATAGAGAAATGGGTATGAGATGTGACCACTAAGAGTCACCTAAAGAAAATAGCTATAATAGCACTTGGGGCATACCCATGTCCAGACTAATAAAAAAGTAATGGGGCTAGACGTAGGTAATATGGTGGGGTGATTACACAGATCAAATTAAAGATTTCTGCCACTAGAAAAGAGATAGAAATCACAGTATGAAAATGCCACAGAGTAGCAGTAATAGAAGTCCTGATAGTTGCTACTAATAGATACACAGTAGCAATATCTAATGTGATGCAACTAAATACAGTGTAAAAATACCAACTTCTATCTACCCACAATCTAATAGATATTGTATATAAAGATGGCATCCCACCACTAGTCCCTTGCACAGTAACAGCCCCCAAACGAACAGATAAACCTTGTTAAATGACTTGACTATTAGCTGGAACAAAATATCCCTCTAATCTTCCTAGCCTAAGCCTGCCTAACGCGCGTTTCGGCGCAATTCAAACCGCCTTCCTCAGAGGCCTAACAAGGTGTATCTGTTTATCAGCCCCTGACGAAGGTGCATGTCCTAAGCACCGAAACGCGCATCGGGTTCACCTGTCACTTTTTCACTTATATTTTCGCACTGGGCACTTTACACTAAGGGCAGGCAACCAACATTCTAAGTATGGTTCTGCCCTCTAACACTATTTAGTTCATCTTTCTTTTTTTCTTGTTCCTCTCTCTCAAGCTCCCACTTTGTATCTAGGAGTTCTGAATAGGTGATACATTAGTATCTGAATTTGTTTCCTATTTGGCTGTTTGGATATGCCCTCAAAACAGATACTGTATATTGATTCCATCTAGATACTTTCTCTACAGTTGACCTTACATATATTGGCAACACGAGCAGGCATCATTGAGTTTACACCGACAGTGAGACCTAACGGTCCTAATGGTCTCTCGCTGTGTGGGCTCTTAACTGCCAATATTTTAGTTGCCTAATTACTTTTAATTTTATGGTCACTTCAGTAGTATTTGGGATGCTCCCCGTAACCTTATTAACTTAGAATCATATGAATTATGCAGACTGTGACACATTCTATTATTAATAAAGTCAGAGAGTCTTGCAGTTCCAATCTATTACGGTGGATTTAAGAGAGGTTTAGCCGAAAGGCTTAGTGTTTTTCACTACACGTTTATAAGTCTCTAAGGTCTGGATCTAATAGACCTTTCTGCATTCTATTTAGGCTTACTATTGTTATTAATTTTACAGTTCGTATGTCATTAACTAATTCCAGTTTAAAACTCTTGTCACTGAATATATTTTCAGTGAATAGAGTTTTTTCGCTTTTTTTCTTTTTGCTCATCAACAAAGGGTTAAGCCCCAGGACACCCACTGGAGTGTCCCTTAAGGTGTCTATTTGGATCCCCTGGGTGGTAGGCTACCCCGTAACTTGGGTCGCACCACCACCTTGGGTCTCTAGATATTTTTGATTCAAAAATCCCTTTTTACTCTCACCTTATGCAGCGGGGCATGCAAATTCCAAACTTGTAGGAGTTCAGACTGAAAGAATTCAACCGCACAGTCTAGATCTGGGATAAAGTTTAATCTGTTCTTGATTTAATTTTAAAGGATTCAAGATTACGTTTTTTGAACGACCTGGTGATTTTTACCTTGGGAGAGGATTTAGAAGCCTCTATTTTGAGCACGCAGTACACAGAGTTACATATTTATACATAGTTACATAGGCTGAAAAGAGACATGTGTCCATCAAGTTCAGCCTTCCTCGCATTTGTTTTTTCCTGTTCATCCAAAAGACAAAAAAAACCCAGTTTGAAGCACTTTCAATTTTGCAACAAACTAGAAAAGAAATTCCCTCTTGACTCAAGAATGGCAGTCAGATTTAAGCTTGGATCAAGAAGCTATTATCCTATGGTTGACAAATTATATAATTGAATATTCTGATTTTGCAAGTATGCATCTAGTTGCTGTTTAAACATCTGTACAGACTCTGATAAAACCACTTCTTCAGGTATACCCTTACTGTTCTTATGGCAAAAAAAACCTTACTTTTCCTTTGCCTTAGACTAAATCTTCTTTCTTCCAGTCTAAACGCATTACCTCTTATCCTATGTAAAGTCCTGTTTGTGAATAAATTTCCACACAATGGTTTGCATTGACCCTAGATATATTTGTATAATGTTATCATATCCCCTCCGAGGCAATGTTTTTCTAACCTAAAGAGGATTACATTTGTTAACCTTTCTTCATATATTCCATTTTGTAGCCTGCTTCTGAACTCTTTCTAGTGCCATAATATCCTTCTTCAGAACAGGTGCCTAAAATTGCACAGCATATTCAAGATGTGGTCTTACCAGTGATTTATAAAGAGGCAAAATGATATTCTCATCCCGAGAATGAATGCCCTTTTTCATGCATGACAATACCTTACTGGCCTTAGCCACTGCTGACTGACATTGCTGCATAGTTTGTAATCTAGAACAATTCCCAAGTCCTTCTCATGTGTTATCCCTAATTCGCTTCCATTAAGGGTATAAGTTGCTTGTGCATTCTTTACGCCAAGGTGCATAACTTTGCATTTTTCTATATTAAATTTCATCTGCCATTTGAGTGCCCAATCCCCCAGTCTATCTAAATCCTTCTGCAGCAAAGTAATATCTTGCTCACATAGTATTACTTTAGAGTTTTGTGCTATCTGCAAACACTAAAACATGACTTTCAATGCTTTTTTCAACAGAACAGAACCCTGAGGTACACAACTTCCCACCTCTGTTCAGCTTCAAAATGTACCATTAATGACAACTCTCTGTACTCTATTTTAATCCAACTTTCTACTCAAGAACAAGAATTTTCATCCAGACCAATTTCTTTGAGTTTGAAAACTAATCTATTGTGTGGAACTGTATCAAATGCCTTGGCAAAATCCAAATAGATCACATCCACTGCAACATCCTGATCTATACTTCTAATCACTTCTTCGTAGAATGCAATCAAGTTAGTTTGACATGACCTCGGCTTCAGAAAACCATGCTGATTTTTACTGAAAACCACCTTCTCAGGGAATTCTTGAATATTATTCGGTATCATTATATACATAAGGATACCAAATCAGGAAATTATCTATTACACTGCTTAAAGATAAAAATGTAAGCGCATATTCTAATTTTAGAAAAGTTTGTTTTTTTTAAATCTAAAATTTTTGTTTTTGCATGACTCTTCTTATATTAAACCACACTGACTGGTGATACTAGATCCTAAACTTTCACCTATAGTAATTTCTGATACTAAATCTCCATTTGTTAACACTAATGAAAATATTGACTCTTTCCCTTTGGAGAAGTTGAAGACGTTGGACATCCTGAGGCGAAGCGTGAGTATATCCAGCTTCATAAGAGCAGGAAGTGCCTCTAGTGGCCGTCCAGTAGATAGCCACCAGATGCGCTCTTAACACTGCAATATAAACATTGCCATTTCTCGTACTGCAGGGCTAAGTAGCATTCAATAAGATGAAGTGATATGGGTGCAGAGTCTTTGTCATGTTCCTCACACCATTCTATCACAATATTGGCAGAGTAGGTTATCACTGCCATCAGGGAACACCAATGCCATGAAAGGATGTACGTAGTTTGCAACAAACTTTGAGTAGATCGTATGAGTCAAAGTAACATCCACCTGAATGCTAGGACCCTCTTTCCCAGGTAAATGAGTACAAACACCCGGCCTGGAGAAATTGTGTTCAGTAGACCAGGCAACCATCTTCCATTGTTCCATGTCCTAATTTCGACGCTCACGTCCCAATTGAAATCGCTTTGGCCAAGCGTCTTTATAGGTACTCTGATAAATTTGACGCTACGCAGGCCCATATGCAGCAAATGGTCATGAATTGTATGTTCTGACACCTTTCTATCTCGGACCAGACAGGCTAGCCTGACCCAGACACCGGTTATCCTTCCTTACACACTTTTTTGGTAGGTAATAAACACTGCATACCAGGAACACCCGACAAAACTTGTTGTTTTGGAGATGTTTTTACCCAGTCATCTAGCCATCACTATTTGGCCCTTGTCACTCAGATCTTTTCGCTTGCCCATTTTTCCTTCATCCAATGAAATTTAAGAACTGACTGCTCACTGGCTGCCTAATCTATCCCACCTCTTGACAGGTGTCACTGTAACAATATAAGCAATGTTATTCACTTAACCGGCCGGTGGTTTTAATGTTGTGTAAGTAGCAGATGGTGAAAAACCTATAAGCCTCCTATTTACTGTTGAGCTGTATTTTAATGTGTGGCTTCAAGCATGCCTGAAAGAGCCAATAAATCTCGCTTTCGTAACTTGTGTATGACTAAAGCACCCGCCTATTTGCTCACACCTATAACAAAGAATCAAACAATAGTAAGTACCCTGAGGTGCCCAATATGGCGTTAGCATTCACCGTACTGGTTATGAGGCCTACCTATGCTACTTTTACCCTCATTCCTTGGCATCTTCTGAATCTCACACTTTGGAAACAGAAGTTTTTTTTTTCTTCTGTTCAACCACTGAAGTGCGCCTTCCATGACTTATAACGTCATAAATGGGTTCAATGCACAATAGCCAAAAACACCGAACTATTAAAGGGTCCCTGTGTATGGCTGCTGTAATTAATTCCCACATAATATATTGAAATGTAGACCTCCTACAACGTCCAATGCAAGGAGGCATGCTCAGGGCAGTTGCCCCACTTGTTGAATTACATCTCCCATGATGTTTAATCCTGCTTTAACCCCTTAAGGACCAAATTTCTGGAATAAAAGGGAATCATGACATGTCACACATGTCATGTGTCCTTAAGGGGTTAAAGGCCAGTAAGGGCTCCGCTTCCACACAAACTGTCTTCAGGGCCAATACTCTCCACAGAATACTGCCAATCTGGGGGAAGGGGTGGGAAACAAAAAACAAATAATTTAGTATTAAAAATTAATATTAGCAGTGGTGACACTCTAATTTATCAATCCCTGAAAAATTCCCTCAGAATTAAAAAAAGAAAAGAAAAAAAAAAGTTTAATAAGTAAGTTTTTGCTTTAAGCTGTGGTATTAAACTGCATTCAGTCCATGTTACACTTCCCACAGAGATTCCTTGCTAACAAACAAAAACATTAAAGGTTCCCCTCCCAGCTCCCTCCAAAACAATCCCGGTCTCCCAGAGACACACAGCTATTGTGTTGCCGCCGCCATTACCGTCATCGCTCCTCCCCCTCCCCCCCGGCTCTCCCCTTTATCAACCGCCAGAGAGAGGCGCTGCCGCCATTTTGTGAGCGCGGCTGGTGGATGCTGAAAGACGCAGTGAGATCTGCGAGAGGGAAAAAACAGACGTTGGAGGGGGTGGGAGAGCAACGTTACCACAGACCCGCCGCCGGTGAAGCACTCGCTCTCTCCTTATCCAGCGAGCCGAGTTTTTATATTAAAATACACCGCAGCCATGAGCGACACCGAAGGGAATAACTACAATGGCAGAGTGAGTATCTCCTTCTCCGGAAGCCGCCTGTCAGGCGTTGCGGCTACCGATATCTCTATGTGTGTGTGTGTGTGTGTTTCCGAAATAATTGGTGGGTGATTTCGGTGCGGAGCCCCCCGGAGCTGATTGCCCGCAGGTTGCCCGCCCAGGTCGGTACTCCGGGCTCACCGGACTTGGAGTAAAACTGCCGGCATCCTGTGACCCGACATGGCGGCGGGGGCCGATCGGTGTACAGCAAGGTCTGTCTGGCCCAAGATGGCTCCCGAGCCCCAGACAGCCGAGGAAGAGAGGGTGCAGCCGGCTGGGGCGAACCGTCTGGCTGTGCTGCCTCACACACAGCTTGTTACGCAGTAATGACCTATGGCTTTATTTTTAGGTTGGGTTATCGTGCATTTTGTGTGGGTGATGGACAGACCGGTACTTATTAAATCAGGAATTGGGTGGACCAGGGGATAAAAAGCTACAATTTAGACTAAGGTAGAGGACCTTGAAAACCTGTACAAGTGGGCTTTAAAAAAAAAAAAAATTCTTAAAGGGTTATCTATAGTTGACAATTTGTGCATTGCTATTTGTCCATCCTGCCCCGTTAAAACATTTTTTTAAAAAAAAAGTTTTTTTTTTTTTTTTTTTGTAGTTAAATCCACTGCCAATCTTGCTCTTATGATATACAGGTCTCACAAGGTCCAAACAAAGGCTTCTAATAGAGAAGCCTGTGATTAGACCGTTTGCTTGCTCAGTGTATACATGCGCTCTATGCCAGCGAAGGGGTTTAGGTTTTTTGGTTTTTTTATCCAGCAAAAACTACAATTTATGTAATGGAGAGAACGCACAGAATAAAGAGAGAATGCTTCCCATGGCGTTCGTGATGCCAGCAAGGCTGAAGAATGTCTGTTGTCAGCGTGCTGGCAGGCGTAATTTTATTTATTTATTTTAAACAGAATTGACTTTTGGCAGTCTGGAACAGAGTTTAGGGTTGCCAACAAAGTCATGTGCGCTTAGGTGTAGCTAGGCCTCGGCACCCAAGCACACATCTCTCTGAACGTGCTTCGCTTCATACACACTCCTACCACCATAACCACTTCAAATCACTGAACTAGTGGTGGTTGAAATAACCCTTTAATGTTTGTGACTTACAACGTCCAGTTACTTTGCCAGTGTGCCACAGTTCCTGGTTTAGTGCAGAATGCATGGTTATCAGTTTATGCAGTAATGGCATACCCATGCACACCTGACCGTGAGGTGATAAAGTTCATCTCCAGTTCTCGAAGCATATCACGTTTATATCCCTCCTCCCGTCGTCTTGTTCATACAGGCTACTTAACTTTTTTAGTAACTCCAGTACTTATTGAAGTGTCACTATGTTGTATAGAAATATGTGATTACTTTAAAATTGGAAGTGGTATAACCATCATGGGTCATATGTTTTGCATATTAGTTGACTTATTAAATTATTTGAGGTAATTGGCATACAAGACGAGTCCCTGTCTTCTGTGTGCGCTTATAACCTTGCAGGTTTTTAAAATATATATATATATATATATATATATATATATATATATATATATATATATATATATATTCGACAATTTAAGTGTATCTGGTGATAATACAGTTGGGTGTTTGTTGCACTACTTACTCCTTCTACTTTGGGTTATAAAACCGGTTTGTTTGCTTGAACATGTTTACTTGGCCTTTTAATGTTGGCTTTGCAATTCCTGTTTGGCCTTTTGTTTAAAGGACCACTCTAGGCACCCAGACCACTTCAGCTTAATGAAGTGTTCTGGGTGCCTGGTCCAGCTAGGGTTAACATATTTTTTTATTATAAACATAGCAGTTTCAGAGAAACTGCTACGTTTATAAATGGGTTAATCCAGCCCTCAAACCCTCTAGTGGCTGTCTCACTGACAGCTGCTAGAGGCGCTTGCGTGCTTCTCACTGTGAAAATCACAATTTACAATGCTTTCCTATGAGACCGGCTGAACGTGCGCTGCTGCGCATGCGCATTCAGCCCAGGAGGAGGAGAGATCCCCGCCCGGCGCTGGAGAAAGGTAAGATTTAACCCGTTTCTTCTCCCCAGAGCCTGGCGGGAGGGGGTCCCTGAGGGTGAGGGCACTATAGTGCCAGAAAAACGAGTGTTTTCCTGGCACTATAGTGGTCCTTTAAGCTTCTTTTATAGGTGCTGCTTCCAAAACTCCTGGCTTAAATAATATAGATATTAACAGGATAGAAGATCCATGTTATACTAAAGTGCCATGATAAATGTAATATATAGAAAGCATCCCAATCTTGGGACTTGTATGCTACTGCTTGTTTATATTCCTATCATTGTAATTAGTATGTGTAATAGCTGGGCAAGATTGTAAGAACAGTAAATTTCCACTATTAGACTGTAATTAATGGGGAGGTATTTAGTGAACCTGCTATCAATAAGTTCACCTTCAAGTAGCTAAATTATTCAGTATGCAAATAAATATTACACGCTGGCAACTGACATATTGAACTTTTTTTTGCACAGCCTGCAAGGGCGTTTGTCTCCCCTCACAACCTACCTTTACTCACCATAGTGCCTTAAAAAAAAAAAAGTTGTCCCACCCTTCCAGTGACCCCCTCCCACCAGCACACATTGTCCTATATGGATGTAAAGCCAAGAGTATACTTTTAAAGGACTGCTCGAATCCCCCCAAAAATCCAATGCCGTTCAGTGAGCCATTTTTGCATGGCAGGTGCTTTGGGTAATAGCATGCCTCTTTTTATTCCACTAAACTACCAGAAGTAACAGGAGTGGTTGTCTAACAGTCAATGGGATGTAACAAGCTTAATTTTTATAAAAGGCCAATTTCTAGTGAAATCTTCACACCTATAGCCCTTCAGCAAGCTAAAATGCTTTCTCTGGAGGTCATTCAAAGGATGGCTAAAGTCACCCAGGCCACTTAATCTCAATGAAGTGGCCAGGGTACATTGGTCCTCTCCTTTTAACTCTGCAATGTAAAACATTTAATGTGGGTTTTGCGGTGCTTACACAGTGCAGAGGAAACTTGGTCTCTGGATGCGGAAGCTCACATTGGACAGAATTGATTCAATGCTTTCCTATGGAGAGGGTTGGGTGTGTATGGTGCTCACCACAAATTCACATCTGGTCCTCAATGCTTTGTTAGGAGGAGCTCTATTTTATAGCAATTCATGGGTTAGGGGTGTTCTACAAAGAAAGACAGGGACACTAAAGTGTTGAGAATTCAGATTTGTGTTCTAATTTCCAGTAATTTTCTTGTTAAAGTACAGTATGAAGAGGCATGTCCTGCTGTGATGATGTAGAAAAGAGACCTAAAAAGCTCAACAGGGAATTTAGATTTCCCTCAAAAATAATTCAGTAAGAAAGGATGGAGTAAAGGTGCTGGAGATTAAAGATCGGCTTCCTAAAACGATGCAATAAAATGTAGTGGTAATGGCTCATGCATTGAATGTTCATTTGAATTATTTACAGAAGGGTATCTAGTTCTGACTTGTGCAGGTAACTGCATTTAGTCATGTTTGGCTGTTAGTTCTTTGACACGCTATTTCGCAAAAAAGGATCGGCATGTAGCATTTCTTGCTTTCAACATTTTTACTGAGCCTTTGGGATGGTTTAATTTTCTAGTGTAAAAACTTTAATAATCCTACCCATGTACCCTGGTTTCACTTTATTCAAGGGCAGATGAATGATTCACACTGACAGTACAGTCTCTTGCTTGTATTAGATTTGTCTTGTCGACTAAAATGCTCTGGAGACTTGGTAGACTAAAACTAAAGTGAAATTTGCTGCCAAAATTAACACTGGTTTAATAGACTCTGCACTCAGACCACTTTAATGAACTGAAGTGGTCTGGGTATCTATAGTGACCTTTTAAGAATTGTATTTTTGACATTGATAAAACCTGGCTTCTAGATTCTAAAGAAATGTGTTGTCCTGTCCTAGTTTGCATTTAGATAAGGTTGCAATCAGCTTTTTGCTCTTGATAATGTTTTGGGTGCTGGAGTTCTACGGTTTGAAAATGTATTAGTTCTTATATAGTGCTTCTGTCACAAATATCTTATTTAAAAACACCTGAACAATTGGATTAACGAACACTTTGACATGACATCTCCATTTATTTTTTTTGTACACACTTTTAGAATTGTGTTGCAAAAACAAGCAGGTCATGCAGCCTTGTGCGATATGGCAGGTTAACCAGGGTGCTATTCTGCAATTTTATAACGTGCCCTGTAGTTTCATTTTCAAGTTTGTGTGTTTGCACAATTCTTCCTACTTCCTTTGTAATCCTTCATACCTGGCCATCCACATGTTTAGGCTACTGAAAGAGTTCAGTTAATGTTTACCATTAAAGCAACACTAAAGGAAAAACATTACTTTGCATTCGGAAGCCTTCTCCCATATTCGATTCTGTGAGCAGTGCATGTGTGGAAATGATGGCACTTCAGCATGCTGAGAATTGCTGTTAAACAATTTACCAGCAGTCTAAATTTACTGCAGTCTCACTGCACTATTCTTCTTCTGCAGTGCCAATTCAAGTGGATTTATCATGAGTTGTAGTGTATCAGAGTATAAATTACCCATGGATTAAGTCTGCATGGATCTTACATATTTTTATCTTAAAGGACCACTCTAGGCACCCAGACCACTTCAGCTTAAAGGACCACTATAGTGCCAGGAAAACATACTCGTTTTCCTGGCACTATAGTTCCCTGAGGGTGCCCCCACCCTCAGGGTCCCCCTCCCGTCCGGCTCTGAAAGGGGTTAAAACTTACCTTTTTCCAGCGCTGGGCGGGGAGCTCTCCTCCTCCCCGTCGGCTGAATGCGCACGCGCGGCAAGAGCTGCGCACGCATTCAGTCGGTCACATAGGAAAGCATTCATAATGCTTTCCTATGGACGCTGGCGTGCTCTCACTGTGAAAATCACAGTGAGAAGCACGCAAGCGCCTCTAGTGGCTGTCAATGAGACAGCCACTAGAGGGAATGGGGGAAGGCTTAACCCATTCATAAACATAGCAGTTTCTCTGAAACTGCTATGTTTATGAAAGAATGGGTTAACCCTAGCTGGACCTGGCACCCAGACCACTTCATTAAGCTAGAGTGGTCCTTTAATGAAGTGGTCTGGGTGCCAGGTCCAGCTAGGGTAAACCCATTTTTTTTAAATAAACAGAGCAGTTTCAGAGAAACTGCTGTTTATGAATGGGTTAAGCCTTCCTCCAAAGCCTCTAGCAGCTGTCTCATTGACAGCCGCTAGAGGCGCTTGTGTGATTCTCACTGTGAAAATCACAGTGAGAGCACGCAAGCGTCCATAGGAAAGCATTGTAAATGCTTTTCAATGCGACCGGCTGCGCGCGCAGCTCTTGCCGCGCGTGCGTATTCAGCCAAATGGTCGGAGAGGAGGAGGATCGGAGGAGGAGAGCTCACTGCCCAGTGCTGGAAAAAGGTAAGTTTTAACCCCTTTCCAGAGCCGGGCTGGAGGGGGTCCCTGAGGGTGGGGGCACCCTCAGGGCACTACAGTGCCAGGAAAACGAGTGTTTTCCTGGCACTATAGTGGTCCTTTAAATATTACAAGCCTTATCATTCTCTATGTACTAAAATTGAGCATAGTCAATGATGTGTCTACTCAAGCAGAATTTGATCATATCTGAAGCTATAATGAAATCTCCTAATTAAACAAATAAAACACAATTATAAAGTCCTGCTCAGCAAGTCATGTGCCTTTCTGTATTTGTGTGTCGATGTGAATTGTCATTTTAGTGAATTATTTCTTTTAACGCCTTAAGGACGGCGGGCGTTCTATGCCGTCCTTAAGGAACCGGCTCTAAATGCCGGAGGGCAGCATAGAATGCCCAAACCGTCATTTCTACTTCTAAAGTTTAACACAGTGTAAAATAACATTATATATACTTAGATCATATATATTTATTATATGTGGTGTGTGTGTATATATACACACACATACTGTCTTTGTGTATTTTAATATTTATATATAATTATAAATATTATCAAAATACATGTACAATGATATTTATATATATATATCTGTAAATATGTTAAATTAAATTTAAAAAAATAAATATGTGTAAATTCGTTCTAACTGTATTTTAAAATTAGAGATCAAAATACACGTAGAATGAAATAAATCTATATACATAAGTGTATACGTATGTATCACTATACAAATCAAAATAATTTAAAAAAATTATATATATATATATATACACACACGTATAATTCAACGTACATATTTATGTAATTTTACATAATTAGGTAATTTTATTAATTACAATTGGCAGGACCAGCCTCACAACCCAGGCTAAAAGTCCAGGGAATTTAATTTGCTAGCACTATATATAACCCTGTAACTTTCCAAGACACCATAAAACCTGTACATGGGGGGTACTGTTTTACTCTGAAGACTTCACTGAACACAAATATTAGTGTTTCAAAACAGTAACCTGTATTACAACGAAGATATTGTCAGTGAAAATGACTTTTTTTTTTGCATTTTTCACATTCAAATGGCACTTACATGGACAATATAATTGTTGCGATAAGATTTGTGTTCAGTGAAGTCTCCCGAAGGTAACCGTACCCCTCATGTACAGGTTTTATGGTGTTTTCAAAAGGTAGAGTCAAATGAGGCTTGCGTTTCAGTTTTTTTCACATTGAAATTCGCTCGATTGGTTACGTTGCCTTTGAGACCGTACGGTAGCCCAGGAATGAGAACTAGCCCCATAATGGCATACAATTTGCAAAAGTAGACAACCCAAGGTATCGCAAATGGGGTATGTCCAGTCTATTTTTTTTTTTTTATTTTTTTTTTATTTTTTTTTTTAGTAGTCACAAACACTGAAAAATGTAACATGCTATATTTGACCTGTAACTTTCAAAAACACCATAAAACCTGTACATAGGGGGTACAGTTTTTAAACGTGAGACATTGCTGAATACAAACGTGTATTTTATTGAAGTAAAATCACAGTATGACATTCACAGAATGTCACGTAGAACTAAACATTTATGTAAAAGAGGTGAATTACGTCTGAACAGACATGTAGCGCAAATTCATGTTTTTGTTTACATTTTGTTTTGATCACAATGTGTACGTTTGGCTCAGTCTTTAAGGGGTTAATACCAAGTAGTTGTATTTGGCTATACATGTTTGTTTGGCTGGAAACAGTTTAGGTAGTTAATGGTTACCGTAGTAACTGTTTTGAGATATACATATATCTAGTGAAGTTTTATGCCTCTTTAGAGGAAGGTGGAATTAATATAGTTAGTTTGTATTGGTGTAGAAGATTTAAGTAGCTTGCAAGTTCTTGGTTAAAATATTTTGCAGATACTGGTGTAATTTCTGTGGGTGGGCTGTGCAAGCTTAAGCTTTCAAGATAAAGATGGCAGGTGCTTTTGTTGACTGAGAAGGTAATTTTGCCTAATACAAAGTTTCACTTGAGTACTTGGTTAGTGGTAACTGTGTATTACCTTGTGAGGTAAAATTAGGAACAGACTATTGGTTGGTTAGCTATGTTAATATGCTGTATTAACTTTATTACAGGGTTTTCCTCTTTTTTTCTTTTTTTTTTTTATATAAAATTGTTCTAAAAAAATAAAGCACTGTGGAAAGGTAGTGCTAGACAAAATAGTGTAGGCTTTGTGTTGGAGTTTCTTGACTGTTGTAGATATCCTCAAGGGATGCTTCATAAACTTTAGTAAAGGCAGTGCCAAATCCTTTGAGGAAATGAGCGTTGACTTTCTTTTCTTTTTTTTTTTTATACCTGCTGGCATTATACTTTTAGAAAGGCTAAATTTCAGTTCCCCAGCAGAGTATTCTAGTCCCTACTTGATTATATATACTAAATGTTCTTTTTCCATTAAGGTTAATGTTCGGGAAGAAATTGAAGAGTTCTTTCCAAGAATATGGAAGATAAAGCAAGATAAACGAAGGCTAATGAAAAGTTATAAAGATCAGAAAAAATCAATTGAATGGGGGAAATTTTTTGAACAGAAGATTGGTCAGATAGAAGCACTTGAATATTTTTAAGGCTTTAATGAATTGTTTGAATTGGGGAAGAATACACGAAGTTGAAAAATGAAAAAAAAAATGAAGAATGAAGAAAAGTGTTAATCAAGAGAGACGTAGAATTAAAAGAATCTGGAAGAATGAATGGGTCCTAGGTTAAGTAAATGTATGGTTTATGTTCCAGTGTCTGTATGAACAAGTTAATGACTTTGCATGATATGTTAGCTAACTGAAATGGTCATCTGGTTGGAGTAGGGTACTGCTAGCGAAATTGGCATAATGGGTTTAATACAGGATTATGGAGGGTCAAAACCTTATAACCTAACCACTTATTTTTCAGGTTTTTATCTAATTTGTGAAATCTGTTGTAAAATGGGAGGCATTTACTAGAAACGTTCCAATTTTAATACATTCTATTGTATTAGGGATCCCGCTCCCGTAGTAAGTCACCAGATGGAAGTGCTGCCCGTGCAAAATCTGAGAGCAGGTCTGGATCACGCAGTGCATCAAGGGCTTCAAAGCATTCAGACTCCCGTTCCCGATCCAGATCAAAATCCAGGTATGTAAATGTTTTGCAGTACACCCACATATAATCTATGCAGAGATTAATCTGTTGAAGGAACATCCTATGTGCCATAGCAGTTACAGCTCACTGTAGTGGTTATAGTGCCAGGAGTGCCCTGGTTTCTTTATCATTGAAGATTGCAGTATTTAACAAGATATGACTTAAATGTCAAAGTGCTGGTGAACATACTGTTGTCGAATGTTATCATTCTTAATGATTCTTCTCTTCGTTCCCCTAAAAAAGCTACATTAAAGTCTTGTAAAAACTTTTAAAATGACGGTGTCACCCCTAAAAGAAAAATTTAAAAAGAAACAGATTGAGCTTGCATAGCTGAAAAATCCTTATGGAGGGTTTCCCATCCTATGCAATTTCTAAGCTAAAGTTTTTGTTTTGATTCACCTCCCTCTCCCCCTGACTTCATACAGTGTCGGTACTCGAGGGATGTCCAAGTTAATGGGAAAAGTAGCATCCTAGGTGGGTGTCTATTGTGGCTTGTGGAGCAATTACAGAATGATCTGTGCACTCCTATTTTTTTCTGACGCACACAGAATGGTGCACTTTGACTGCCTTAGGCCAATTCGCAAAGTCACCAATCTTGTTACAGGCCCTGTAATCTCTGAATAGAAATCATGTGTTCTGAATGAGCTATTGAGCATGTGCAAATGAAACACTTGCTACTGGTGCAAAAATCCCCAGGCTATTTAAAGAGGAAAATTTCTATTGTGATAGGCACCCTTGCTGTCACAGGGAAGTCGTGTCTACCATCCCTCCACATAACCTTGAAGCTAGTTAAGGTTTGAATAAAATCCGGTTGGCTCAAAAACTGGGAACAATCTATTCTTAATCCTTCAAAAAAGATTTCACTTCTTGGTTTATAAATACTCAAAGATTACACGTCCTCCTTCAAACTCAGAAGAGACTGAGAATCAGCAAGGCCATTTCAAAGTATTCAAAGAAACCCTTTGGCAATGGGCCTGTTGGGGTTACTCACTTCTGCAATTCCAGCACTAAAATGCAACGAAGGCTTACATCTGATGTCTGCAAGGAGAAATACTGTTTAACAGGAATCTAGACAATCTGGACATGGAGCTCTGTATTTCGGAAAAGGCTTTGGGGAAAACCAAAGCCGGTGGAGAAAATTCAATATTTGTTCATAAAGGCCTCTTGCTCACAGGTGGGTATCAATTACTACAGACACGTCTGGGTCAGGATGTGGGTGCTCACATAAATTCCTTGATAGATCAAGGAAGTTGTTCTTCAAAGGACGTCCTCAACTTTAAGGAAATTATGTCCATTGGGAAAGCCCTTTATTTCAAGGAATATATTGAAAAATCAACCAGACAACCTTATGACTGTGATTTAAACAAGCAAGGAGGAACAAGAAGCCAATCTCTAGCAAAATTATGCAAAACCATAATCACATGGACAGAAAGGTGTCTGTCCGCTCTCAGGCATCCACTTACAGGCTATAGAAAATCAGTTGACTATCTCAGCAGGGACTTCTGGAAACAAACTCTTCACTCAGTCCTCACATTTTTAATGCATTCTCAGTGTGGTGGAGATTTCAGATGGCATATAATTCCCCCCTCTCCAAATTGCAATAGCAGAATTTGGGGAACTTCCAGTGTCAGAACAAATGGACAACAAAGATGTGATTATAGTATGTCAGAACACTTTCAAGCTAAGGGAATGGAAACTACAATGCTGAAACATAGTGGACATTGTTACCGGCTACAAGGAAAACCCACCTTTTAGAATCTTACGTATTTTTGGGGGGGGTAAGTCGTTGCATGGTATCAGATAAATCTTAAAGGAGCACTATAGTGTTAGGAATGCCCTTCCTTCTTATTAAAACTGAGGTGGAACATAATGCACAGCGAGCACCATGGGATGGCATTGAGTCAATGCTTTCCTATGGGGGATTTGAAGACTGGATGTCCTCATGCACAGATGTTATTAAATTGGTTTCTAAACTATTTAAGGTTTGATTCTCCCATTCAAAGTTAAGGTTCCCCCCCTCCCTCCCCCTCCTTCTTGGAATAAACCGCTTTGAATAGACTGATGTTTTTGCATTATATTGTCGTGGTGTAATCTCTTGTATAACTGATCTGCTTAGTTGCTTGAAGGGACACTATAACCAGTTTAATGAGATGAAGCAGATACAGTGCCTACGGTGTCCCTTTAAAAGGGACACTGTAGGCACTCAGACCACTTCTGCCCATTGGAGTGGTCTGGGTGCCAACTCCCACTACCCTTAACCCTGCAAGTGTAACTATTGCAGTTTTTTTATAAACTGCAATAATTACCTTGCAGGGTTAAGTCCTCCCCTAGACAGCCACTAGAGGGCACTTCCTGCTCTAAAGCACAGGTTTTCTGTGCTAGAGCGTCGCTGGACGTCCTCACGCTGTGTGAGGACCTCCAGCGTTGCTAAATTCCCCACAGGAAAGCATTGCCGCGCATTAGGTCTCCTCTCGCCCACCGGCTGATGTAAGAAAGAGGAGCGGCAGCGAGCAGAAACCACCGCCGAGGGACTTACTTGAGCGGGGGTCTCAGGTAAGTGACTAAAGGGGGTTTTACCCCTTCAGCAGCCGGGGGTGGGAGGGAGAGAGGACCTGCAGTGCTAGGAAAACTGATTTTCCTGGCACTGGAGTGTCCCTTTAAGGTATTTATAGCGTAAGGGGATGAAATCTAACACTTTTAATTTTAGCACGGAGGCTACTTGTCCCACTAACTTTAGCAACCCTCAGATAATGCCACTAGTACGAAGGGAAATTTTTTTTACAGGACATAACAATTCTATTTTTGTGTGTAGTGTAAAAGGGGAATGGTCACTTCTGGTATTTACCTAATTGAACAAAACTTGCCAATAACTTCACTGTACGATTAGTTACTGTGCTGCACTACATAAAGTGGAAAATACATCCCACACAAACAAAACTCTGAAACTGTTATGCAATAAATGTCTGACAATAGATTTCATATTGAAGCATATTGCATTGCTTGTGTATTAAAATCTGGGGTATTTTTTGTTTATCTTGTGTGTTATTGCCGTGGTAAGTAGATCTGTTACGCTTTTACTGGCTGAGAAGAGAAGCAAATACTTGACTTTAACTGAAGGCTTCTGTCAGGTTCAGACTGACTTCTCTTCTCTGCATTCTTAAAACGCTACAGGAGCTCATATGGTTCGTCATGAAGTCTCACAGAAGACTTATTCTATCCCAAGCTATGTTTAACACATAGTAATGGAGTACAGATTATACACAAACAGGTGGCCAGGCAAATGCAGAGTGCAACACTAACACATGGCAAAAATATAGAAAATTTCATTTTGGTGCCTTTTTGTTCCTCTTATGATATACGAATATTTAGTTGTTTGTGGGTTTGTTTTATTTTTATTAAAGGTCCCGGTCAAGGAGGCATTCTCATAGGCGTTATTCACGCTCCAGGTCCAGATCTCACTCTCATAGAAGAAGGTCAAAGAGCAGATCCTATACCCCAGAATATCGCAGACGGAGAAGTCGCAGTCACTCTCCTATGTCCAACCGTAGAAGGCACAACGGCAGCAGGGTAGGTTCTCACTCTAGAATGAGAACAGTTCTGCCAAGAGAGGTTTGTCAACATCTATATTTTTGCCAATAAGTGGATTTGTCACTTTAGAACATGTGACTAATGTAAATGTTTAAAGTCTATAGTGGGTGTCTTCAAAATAAAAAAAATGGGGAAAGTATTTAACACATGGGTGCACGTTCAATAAATGTGTGTGATGAAAAATGTCATCTTGCAAACAGGAATGGCAGCCCAATTGTGAAAAAGATAAATTCATAGTGTTTAAGACAACCTTAAATTTCACAAGAAAAACATTTTACCATTTTTTGTTCCCTCCTTAATATACCTTCAGGATTGCAGCTTATTGTTTACTTTTTCCCCATATATAAAAAGGCCTTTAGCACATTAGAGAATGGCATTGTGATACATATTGAGACCCTTTATTTATCACGTGGTAACTTATTTAGAACAACTTGATATAGGCCTCCTAGTACTTCCAAACTGCTTTAGCAATACGAACACTGTCAAATTGTGGACGTTTATGAAGTGTATGGTAGTTATTTAATGTGCAATGGCAGTCTGACACCGGATTCTAGTAGGCATTGTGGGTTACTGAAGGGTTTAGTTAAGTGTATAACTGTTCAAAAACAAAATAACGGTTACAAACTTACTGTGATTCTAATTGTTTCTAACTACTACATATTGTGATTACAAGTGAAGTACCCTCTTTCAAGCATCTTGAAGGCTGACTGCATTTGCACTATTTCTGCTGTTTTGACCTTATATTTGAAATTCACTTTAAATTCTCATTTCAGATAATAAACCTGTCAGGCTGTTAGAAATCATACAATTTTAAGGCTCTATATTAGTCTATCATTGAAGGAGTTACTCTAAATGTGCAATTTGCACCTATTCTTTCTTTCACAGGCAAACCCTGATCCAAACACATGCGTTGGTGTTTTTGGCTTGAGTTTATACACAACAGAGCGAGATATCAGAGAAGTGTTTTCTCGTTATGGTCCTCTCAGTGGTGTCAATGTAGTTTATGATCAGCGGACTGGACGATCAAGAGGATTTGCGTTTGTCTATTTTGAACGCATAGAGGATTCCAGAGAGGTAACTTGATGTGTTTTTCTAGAAGTTATTCATTTTTTTTATGTAGCTCACATTTACCCTAATCCAACTACGTATCACAATTCTGCTATACATTGTCACAACATATGTTCTTATGAGTTGTTAATCTTTCTACAGCATAAAGTTGATGAGCGAAACTAAACCATTCAGAATTCACTGCTTTTGCCGTAAACTCTGCTTATGGTTAAGCTTAGCAGTGCTATAGGAAGTTGAGGGTATCCTAATTTATTTAATTCCTGGTCTTGCTTGTGCTCCCTATTGCAGCAGATTAATTTTGAACAATCTTTTTAAATTGTCTTCATATATGGGTGGTGGGATATGGGCAATCTCTAGCCTACAGTGTCAATTTAAAGGCACATTCCATGCACTAATTATCAACATTAAGCCATGTGTGGGTATATGAATTAACTTGTCATTGCCTCTTAACTTTATTTCAGTATGGGAATAAACAAAGATATTAAACATCCGTAGTTTGGGTCCAAAGAATGCATTCAAAAGCACAGGTTTCTTTTTATTTTACTTGCTGAATAGTCATGCTGTAAGTTAGAAAAACATTGCAGAACATGTTTAACGATGTTTTTGTAATGCAGTCATTAAGTGTGCATATCCATCTTTCATTCAGTATTTTTAAAATGTTGTAGAGTATTTTACCCTACAATTCTACAACTTTGTTACTCTTGGTACATAAACCATGTGTCCACTTGACATTTAAAAATGTCAAATTTTGTGAGTAAGATAGTGGTGGTTTATGGTAATCTAAAGCATTGTATAGTTGGCTGAACGGAGACTGTGGATTAGTCTTTAAAGTTCGACTACCGTTTTTTGTGGAAGGCACATTTTTTCCAAATGTAGCATATCATATGGTACAAAATTTTCACTAGTATAAAGTGTTACTCTTATTTTAGACATGGTTATGGTGGTAGCAATCTGTATACGCAGTGTTTCACCAAGAAACTGCCTATACAGAGAAATCTCTCATTTTATGCAGAGATATTGTTACAACCCCTACCCATGGGACTTGGTCAGCCTGGAACTCTATGCCATGCTGACTGTGTGATAAAAAATTGGCATTGCGCCCCCCATCAATCCAGATAGGGAGGAGGGCGGGCTTTAGTGTCGAGATGAGTGAACACTGCGCAGTCTAACGTTCAGTGGTCCAACAGTGCTTCACTATGAGAAGCATTTGATTGGGCCACAGGTGCAAAGAGGACAACTATAATTGTAGTATCAAGTGGAATACAAAATTGGCCTTTAGATGGTAATGTTTCTTGAATTGTTATGAAAGACAATGTGTCCTTTCTGTCATTGTTGCATATAGTACAGAAACAGTCTAATAACTTTCTTACGAACGTTAAGGATTCTATTTGAACAGTTGCCATGTTTGCAAGGCTGTAAACCTTTCTAATTAAACATTAAATTGCAGGTAATTACTTGTAATTACGGTAGTGTACATATACACCATTAACTAGAACTCTCTCAAGAACACACTGGAAGCAGATTATGAAGGAAAGGTGCATTGAAGCTACTTTTGCGAAGTAGTAAATCAAATGTACATACAAGGGATCGACCGATATTTTATTTTTAGAGCTGATCCCGATCTTTGAACTTTCAGGCCGGTGGCTGATAAGTTACCGATATTCTGTACATTTACCACTTTGAAAAAATAAACTTTCTAAAGGTAAATGCACAAAATATACATGCTTCATGTAGTGGATGCAGTGTTTGTGTAAGTGTATATAATGAATGCAGTGTTTGTGTAGTTTTTTTTTTTTTTTACTCGTTGCCAGGTCAGGGAGGGGGGATATGCCATTCCCCGGTGGCAGGGACTGTGCAGTGGGAGCCCAGCAAGCGCTTACTTTCCTTCCCTTCAGCTCCCCTGTTTAACTCTCGCTGCCTACTTGCTGCGCAGAGCATTGCAATGGTAACCCGTGGCAAAGCTCTGACTGCCGCGGGTCTCGCGAGATTTACACAGGGGAGCTGCTGGGAAGGTAAGTAAGAGCTTGCTGCAGGACCACCGGGCTTGTAATGGGCCTGTCGGTCCTGGTATGTAATATCGGTATCTTTATTTGCCGACACAGATATTATTGCTGAAAATACCGAATATTGCCCAATAAGATCGGTCAATCCCTAGTACATACAGCAGATAAATTAGATCTAGGCATATAGGTGCCCATGTTTTTGTTTATGCCTACACAGAATCCGATAAGTGATGCTTAAGAGTTGTACTCCTTAGCGGATCAAAGCGGTTTTCCTGACACAATAGTGCCCTGAGGGTGTCCTCACCCTCAGGGTCGGTACCCCCCCCATTGGCGCCGAAGGGGTTAAACCCCTTCAGCAGCTTACCTTTATCCAGTGCCGGGCTCCCTTGACGCTGGTGACATCTCCTCCCTGCCGACGTCCGCTCCCGAGTGGAGTGCGCAGCAAGTGCCACGCGCGCATTAAAACAGTCCATAGGAATGCATTTCTCGATGCTTTCCTGTGGACGTTCTGCACGCTGGATGCGAATTTCGCATCCAGCGTCGCAGATACACCTTTAGTGGCTGTCAGGAAGACAGCCACTAGATGTTGGATTAACCCTGCTATGTAAACATAGACGTTTCTCGGAAACTATGTTCACAGTGTGAAGGGTTAAAACCTGAGGGACCTGGCACCCAGACCACTTAATTGAGCTGAAGTGGTCTGGGTGACTATGGTGCCATTGAGCCGATTTTGAACAAATTTCAATCAGATTGAACAGCACAGTGTGTTTACTTTACATGTTCATATCTCCTGATCGGTTTAACTTTAATACACACATGATCATGTAGTCTCTAGCAGTCACTTGAACAGTTGGTTAAGAAATTCAAAACTAAACAAAATAGCACACTGCAATAAAGGAAGTTAAACTGCCTCCTACAGGTATTAGTGTAGCTAAAGCTGCATAAACTGATTCAGCTCCTAAATGGCAAAGAACTAAGCCGTGAGACTGCAAGAGCATGATCTATACGTCAAAACCACTTCACTAAGCTAGTTTGATTCTTGGTGTCCCTTTAAATTAAAATTCATGAAATGTGTACATTGTACTGATATGAACTAGTGTAGTTTTTTTAAAGGGACACTGTATGCAACCCAGACAACTTCATGCAGATGATCATAGGGATAAGACTGCCTCTAGTGACTGTGAAACAGCAGGATACACTTCCAGTGGTCGTTTGGTAGAGAGATGAACTCAGTGAAACACTGAGCAATCTTTGCACGAGGACGTCCCACGTCTGGGAAGAACAAATGTGCCGTGCACATTGTTACCCCTTGCGATGATAATGGACTTAGGCAAATGTTTTTTTTTGTGAAACCTTTAATTGCTGTGCGATTGACACTAAAGTGTTAGCACTTTTGTATACCTAAACTGTTCCCTCCCCTTACCTGTGAGTCAGTTCTCACAAGAGGGTATGAGATCTGGTTCTCTTATCACGATTACAGAATATCTGATGGTGGTGTCCTTACTACTCTAGTCTAACATAAGGATTTAGTCCTTGCTGTTCAGATGTGAGTAATGCAAAGGCAAGTTGTCTTCTACTTGTGTGTTCCCAAGCAGTGCTGTGATAGGGGAGGGGTTACAATAAGAACACTCAAAAACGTTGTGACTATATAATGCAAGAAATTCCTGAAAAGCTATAACCTGGATTACATGGGTTAGAAAATATTTAACAAGAACCTGTCGTGACACTCGCTTAACGGCCGTTTGCAATAATGTACGAATGAAGGTAATTTATTGAACTTGTACGGTGTGCATACTTCAGATGAGGTTAGGGAGTTTTAGCCTATTGCAAAATGGTGCAAGATTGAAGTGACTCGCCCCTTGAGTGCATGAATTGATACTAGTAAGAATATTTACTGTTGGAATATTCCTTTAAAAAATCTAAATGTGTAATTTGTAGGTTAATACAAATACTGTATAAAAACACTAAAGGCCCTCTGAAACTTTGATTTAGAGTGCCTCATTTAGTACGTTGAAAAACGGATGGCTACTCATACTATTAACAGGGCGCTTTTGTTGTGTGCCACTAGGTGGCAGGATCGAGATCCCTTTTCGGAACGGATTTCCACGTGTCTACATTAAGGCAATAAATGGCTTTTTGTCATTATGACTTTGGACAGGAGTCAATCACAATATTTGTGCGATTCTAATCTATCCATACTGGGCCTTGTGTCCGCCTTACTAGACTTGCTTAGTCTGCATGTAGTAAGTACGGGATTGCAGACACGGAGTGTGGTTAATAGTCTATATTACCCTGACACCTCGCCTCATGGACGGCATGAATGTGAGCTCGGTACCGGGTTGGAAGGGGGGTGTATCGGGCATAGTGCAGAACATCTGTAGCGGCTTCACAATGCTTCTAAACTACATTTCCCATTATGCTTAGCCAGCTTTAGTTGGTCGAGCATTATAGGAGATGTAGTTTTGGGTTGAGCGCAGAGATCAGCGAAATAATTAATAGGCGATACGGGCGGCAGTGATACTGAGAGCATGGTGTGTATGCGGTTCGGGGAATCTGATAATTCTGAATTAAAGCCACCCGTGTTAGGGGACTCGGGTGACACGTGGTGTTCTGGATGGGAATAATTGGTGTTTGCCGCATGGTGCTGTCCGTGGCGTGGTTTCGGTGTCCAGACGGGCTTGGTGGCCATCATACCGTATCCGCTATCCGGCGGCGGGGAGACGGACTGGCCCCGGCCAGGTATCCCCGACTCCTGCTCCCATGGTGAGCCTGGCCCACGCCTCGTGTCACTGCGTGCTTTGCGTAAAGCTGCGCCCGCGTGTCATGCTCTTCACCAGGCCCAGGCCGCCATTTTGTCGTTGGTGATGAGAGGTGGGGGCGGGGAAAGACTTGTGCTGAGATGGACGCTGCGAGGCGGGGAGAAGCGCGAAATGGCAGCCCGACCACGTGCATGGGAGCTCGCGCCGTTCCAATCCTCTCGCGGGCGCGCGCAGACCCTCTGCACGAGTAAACCGCTGTGTGGGGCGGGGTTAACCAGTTAGCGGCCGCCTGGGAGTCCTGGCTACATTGTGCGCGTTCACTGCTGTGGGGGCGGGGCTGGGGTCACGATGCGTGTGGCTCCTAAACTTTAAAAATAAGTCGGAAAAAAGGCTTTTGTGCAAGTGCCGTGTATTTATTTTTTTTTCTCTAAATTGTGTTGGTGAAACTCCGTAATGTGCACGTGTCGTTGCCACAAAAAGACAATTTCTTGTTTAAACGCTGCAGTTTTGTGTAGATTGCTACTGTTGTACATTGCAGAGATGGTTTTCATAATTTTATTTAGCATTGACAATATAGCTGGTACTTTCTATCTGAAATTTAATACAGATTGAAAATCATGAGCGAGTGGCTTAATTTGCAAGATGTTCTGTGGATTTTAGAGTTAGATTTTTCACTCAAAACATGAACTCACTAGTACCCTCTACCACTCTTAAGTTATTTAAATATGCATCATGGGATTTGATAGCAGCTCCCTAATGCAAGTAGAAGCAGGAAGTTGTTATAGGACAACATAAGGGTACTCCAAATCATGGATATATACATGCTTGTCTGACTAGCTTATACTAGTTTATTCCTGAAGGAAATTTAATAGTGCAGTGTAATTACCATTAATCTAAATGAAAAATTGGTCCTGCCATGTGACAGGTGGGATTTTGTTCCACTAGACATACAGTAGTTTGCCAGCACCATCTCCTGCATACAGGACTTTAATTCTGTACTTCATCAAACAGTGTAACATCATTTATTTAAAAACCGAATATTTGAATATAATGTACAGGGGCAGGGCACAAGGAAGGGAGACATTAGTGCATTTTGTAATGTGCAAGGAACTTCCTCAGATTTCACATCAAATGTCAAGCCATTTCTAATAAAGATTTTCTTTTCTAGGCCATGGAACATGCCAATGGTATGGAACTAGATGGCAGAAGGATACGGGTTGACTATTCAATAACTAAGCGGGCACACACACCAACTCCAGGAATTTATATGGGAAGACCTACACAGTAAGTCACAACCTTTGAGCTACTCTTCTGTTTTTAGAAATCAGTGGTATTGTACATTGCAATGATGTTAAAAGCCTTGTAACGGCAGATATTTAAAACTTTAATCCCCCAAATGTAAATAGTCAAAACATTTTAGGATGTTTTGAACGGTTGTAATGTTCTCAAGTGTCTGCCAGGTGCCTCTTTGCCCTACTACTGCATCAAGTCAGGTAGAAGCCATCTGCCTGAGCTAAGCTCATTAACCCCTTAAGGACACGTGACATGTCATAATTCCCTTTTATTCCAGAACTTTGGTCCTTAAGGGGTTAAAGGAGAGCACTGCATGAGTTTCTGGCTCTCTTGAAAGCTTAAAGGAGGTGGTAGACTGACAGAATGCAAGTTTATTATGTGTTTGTCACGAGCATATTAAAGTGGCTGTCACCTTCTGGTGTCTCTGTATAATTCACAAAGGCTCCCAATGGTGACTTCTCTGCTAAGTGTGTGGTGTTTTTAAAAGCTGTCACTTGCATTTGCATATATTGGGTCATGTTCGATGTACTTCATGTCATTGTTGTACTCTTCTGTATATGTGACAGTTCAACATTGAGGTTTATGTGGATTCTGCAGTAGCTTCCATAGGTGTCTTGCTATATATAGGGTGAGGTAGAGGCAAAAAATGCCTTCAAAATATAAACAAAGAACAAGTTAGACCCAACAGTGTGTATACAACCAAAAAACAAACACGAGTCCTGCGCATCCAGTATAGGTGTGCACACCCAGGTGTTACCACAATTTATTTGAGGACAAAGTTAAAACCGCATCTTTCGAGTAGAAGCCCTTTCTCATTAGCATTGAGGAAGGGCTGCTGCTCAAAAAGTTTGCTGTTTTAACTTTGTTGCACACACACAAACTCCATGGAAGCTCCACCTAATGTCAAATTCAGGAAAAAATGCATAAAGCAAAGTAGTCCTTGCATTTCAAGGAGTGTTTTTTACCCCTTAAGGACCAAACTTCTGGAATAAAAGGGAATCATGACATGTCGTGTCCTTAAGGGGTTAAAGCATATTTCTACTTGAGGCATTGGTGTTAATGCTTATGTTTTGTTACAGTGGTGGCGGTGGAGGTGGCGGCGGTGGTGGCAGTAGTGGCGGCGGTAGCAGCAGTGGTGGAGGTGGACGTCGTCGGGATTCTTACTATGATAGAGGATATGACAGATATGAAGAATATGATTATAGATACAGGTAAGTGACCACTTAATTCTGTTACATTTAAACCTTTTAGTTTGTGTTTATACTAGATGCACACATTTGTCACACTTTTTCCAAGAGAGATCTAGGAAGTTTATACTTTAAACTTGAGACAGATGAGCCTGATTTTATGCTTTCGGTCCTCTTAATGCCAGGTGCAAGTGTCAATTTTCCTCCTTAAAGGACCACTCTAGGCATCCAGACCACTTCAGCTTAATGAAGTGGTCTGGGTGCCAGGTCCAGCTAGGGTTAACCCATTCTTTTATAAACATAGCAGTTTCAGAGAAACTGCTGTTTATGAATGGGTTAAGCCTTCCCCCAAAGCCTCTAGTGGCTGTCTCATTGACAGCCGCTAGAGGCGCTTGCATGCTTCTCACTGTGACTTTCACAGTGAGAGCACGCCAGCGTCCATAGGAAAGCATTGTAAATGCTTTCCTATGCGACCGGCTGAATGCGAGCTGCGCGTGCGCATTCAGCCCAGGAGGAGGAGAGCTCTCCGCCCAGCGCTAGAAAAAGGTAAGTTTTACCCCTTTTCCCCTTTCCAGAGCCGCCGGGCGGGAGGGGGTCCCTGAGGGTGGGGGCACCCTCAGGGCACTATAGTGCCAGGGGAACGAGTGCTTTCCTGGCACTATAGTGGTCCTTTAAAACTGTTTTAGTATTAATATGGTAGCTTGTACCTAGTTGTATTTGACATTCCATGAAAACTTGCACCCAGCATAGTAAAATTTGTAGTTTTATAATTTTTCTTCATGTTTGTATTTCAACATGTTAATGGAATGCAAAAACTGAGATTTAGCAGTCTGGAGTTTGTCGTTTTTTAAAAACAAATTCATATGTTCCTCCCTAACCTACAGGAGACGATCGCCTTCACCTTACTACAGCCGCTACAGGTCCAGATCACGATCACGCTCATACAGTCCAAGTGAGTAAAAACTGTCTACCCTATTCTGCTGAATAGGAGATATATCGGCAACACTTAATCAAACACCAAAATGAGCCACCTGCTTCCCCCATATTTAATGTGATTCTTCTGAAGTGTCTAACTTTCAGGAAAGTTCACTTCCATCCTGCTTATTCTAAACCTCTCATTACCGTTAAAAGTAAATGAACACTGTTCACTTGAACACTGACATTTAAGTTTGATTTTTAAAATGTTCAAATAAATTTGAATTAGCTGTTGGCCAGATAAACTGTAAAACTGTTTTTATTTTTCTCCTTATAGGGCGCTACTAAGACATTGAAGACTCAGATTTTGTTTTGATTTTTCTTTTTTAATGGACACCTCCTATGATCTGTTTTTAAGAACATCTTGAATCTGCAGTTTTCTGTTTAAATGTATTGTTCTATTACATGAAAAACAATAGTATTGCTGTAGGTTTTATGCATTGGAATATCCATAGCATATAGAAGTGAAACACAATTTTGATAGCGGTATTACCTTGCAATGTTGTCTTGCAATCTTTAGAGTCCTGGTAACTGGGAACCTTTTGAGATGCTTAATTTCATTCATATGTTTTCTTTCTTGCTTTATTTTATTTTTCTCCCTTGCAACTTTTGTTTTTGTACCAGCCACACGTGAACATTATTTTGAAGGGAGCGATTTTTGTGATAGTAACTGCGTGTATATTGAAAATAAAAAACCTTGTACATTGTCTATTAAGTTTCATATTTTGTGTAAAATTTTATACACATTTTATTTGCCATTGGCATAATCAAAGTGCACAGTTTCAGGGTTTGGCAATTATCATGTCCCAGTGCTTTCCCAGATGTTTGCTTCCAAGTCAGTTATTTTATGTTTATGTACATAAACGGTTTTCTGTTAGAATATGGATATTGGTGTTCATCTCCATTTGGGGGGGAATTTCTGTTAAAATGTTTTATGAAGGAGAAAAACTTTTCTCTCCACCAAAAACACCAATCATTTTAAAGTGCTAGTAGTAGATAAATGGAAGTATCAAACCTGAAAGAACATTTTCGGGGAGAATACAAGAATGGGCAATTCATAGATGTTCGTAGTATGGTTTGGAAAGCGATCAGTGGTTTCCTAGTTATACAAGGTCAACATAATGCAGCCTATCCTCAAAGTCTAGGAGGCCCTCAGTCACTGTTCAAAAGAATGTTTGAAAGGGTCATAGTAATTTCTAATTCCTTACTTGAGATTCCTGGCTTAACATAGCCTGTGTAATACTTGTAACTTTTCATGATCGTAGTTAAGCACAGATTATTTTGCTACAACTGTATAAATAATTTGATCAAATGGACTTACCCTTGATTACTCAGCTGTTCAGACATTATGGCAAGAAGGTGAGCAACACTTTGCTTTACCTTTGGTATTTCTTCCACATCTGTTGCTTTGCAGGAGTTATTTAGAATTTTTGTGGATATGTCTCTCACTCAAGGTCTTTGAGACGTATATGGCTTACAACCTGAAGATGCTTGAACGTGCTACACCTTTCATGTTTAGCGGAGAGCCCTAAAGTTCTTGAGAGTGCAAGTTTCTTTCAGTGTGATTGAGTTGCAGCAATTTGAACACTCCTCAGGTACAAGTCTTGGATAAAATTCTCCAGGTGATGTGAACTGTATATTTGCCTTTAGAAACTCAACCACAAAATGTTTGGCCTCTGTTTTAGGAAGAGACCTAAATCGGCAACGCTGTTCGAATTATTGCCTTAGATTCCTTTTCAGTTGACCTGATCCATTAATTTCTCTGAAACTATCTAGTATCCATATATTCATTCTTCTAATCTGAATTTGAGGTTTTTACAGGGTGGCTCACTAATGTGAGCATTCAAAGTGAATTTCAAATTTAAGGTAAACATAGCTGAACTGAGTAGATTATCTAATTCACCTATGCTTTCAATTTGGCTACTCTAACCATAAATTGTAAATTTGTAGGAACTTAGATTAATTTTTTTTGAGACCGTAAAAGGCGCCAATACCTTTGTTTTGACGTCAATAAAAACTTCACCTAAATCACCAAATAGCGAGCTGACGCCTTAGATTATCCACTGGCGTTATGGTTGGCAAAAAGTCTGTCATGTGGCTAAAAATTTTAACATGTTGAAGTTTTTCCTTTCTCTGCAATTTATCTGTTTCATTCCATACGACGGAAGATAATCATGCCAACTTAAGTTCTTTTGAAAATGCAGCCGCAAAGCAGTATTGTGCCAGTTGAGATCAGTAGATTAGTACCATTTGCAATCTGTTTTCACAGCCTCTTAAGCTGCTTGCCAAGGATTGCTGCAGTGTCCATTCCCTTGACTGCAAACTATAGCTTATTAAGGGGCTCTGTAAATGGGGAGGATCTGACCTCATACCCTCACCCCCTCCATACAGCTCCTCAAGGGAACTTTGAAAATGTGCGTTGAGAGTAACGAGGACTAACGACAGCATCACAGCCAGCAATGCAAAGCCATAGGATAAAGGCAAGGAAAGAGGGACAGGAAGACCGCAACGAAATCTGGTTATAGGAGGTAGACACTAGTGAGGTTTACTAAAGAGACGAGTGGGGGCTGATGATCAGAGAAAGAAGTGTTAATAAAAAAGGGCTGGTAATCGGAGAAAAAGGTGGACAAGTGATTGATACAATAGGTGCAACTGAAGTGACAGGAGAAAAATCACTTTATTAACCCCTTGAGGACATGTGACATGTCATGATTCCCTTTTTATTCCAGAAGTTGTCATTAAGGGGTTAAAGGCATACTCTAATCACATTACTTTGTACTGGTTGTGGAGCTTAGAGTAGCTCTTTCAAATATCTCCCTATATACAACACCACTACGATAAGACACTATATATTAACAGTTACATGCCTTACATACACTTCTCTGCAGTGTAAAAAAAATAAACACTACTGTTCGCAAAACATTGAAATGGACCGTCTGCATTTGCACACATGTGTATAATATACAAATACATGTGTATTCACACACCCCTAGGCACACATTCCTGTATTTACAATGACACTCCACAAAAATGCTACTTTGGTCACATATAAACATTTCATATATACAAAAAATTTAATTCTCGCTCACACTATGTACCTATATACATGCTCACTTCGGCCCTGGACATTCTCACACTATGCATGAGGACATACAGCGTCATGTAAAACCCCATGGGGTGCACTATAGGGAGTAATAGTGCCAGGAGAAAAACTGTTTTCCTGACACTTTAGTTTTCCTTTAAATGTGATATTCACTTTGAATTCCTGACAGTTCTCATTTTAGGAAATAAGCCCAATTTCCTCTGACGTGATTATGCACAAGTGACACAAATCTGTCTAATGTATGGAAACCTATGGAATGGTGGACTCAAGAAAGGAACATTCTTCTCAGTTTAAACTTAAACTTATTTCACACAAACCGTATGTTTGATTGCATAGAATAAACAGTTGGTTTTTCACACAGATATTTTACCATGAACAATTGTTCCACTTGTTGAATACGTGTCCGGGGGATGGAATGGGATTGAATGTCTTTGTTGTAGCTTGAACTGGTAATCTGGTCAACACAAAACCTCTAAGTATTTACACTGAACAGTAAACAGAATAATATCACCATATAACTTCAGTCAAATAAGCGGCTAATCAGGAGCCAGAGCTGTAGAGTGTTGAGTAATGTCCTAAAGAATACAATCGTTTATTCTCAAACAAACCAATCTGCCTGATCAGATCTTGCTCACAACAGGCTGCCAAAGATCATTTGAAATGGCAAATGCACACAATGGCAAACCAATAAAATGTCCTTCTTGCCCCATGCGTGCAACCCCCAGACCTGTTTACAAAGGAATACAAAAGGAAGTACATATTTATATCTGGGCTTTGGCATACAGATTTGTATTTGTAATGCAAACGGTGTGGTTTACTAAATACTGGATTTTGTTAGGATGGACAACATCTGGTGAAAATTTCAGAATTCCATCTGAAATATTTCCTGGTAAGAAAATTGTCGCCCGCCCCCCCACCCCCATTCTACCCAGATGCTAGGTGTCCCCAATGAAAAGCAAGCCTACCTATCCACTTACCCTAACAATTGTGAGAGTGGAGCTAAAAAAAATGAATACCTTGTTTCTTACCTTTTTCTTAAGCTTCTAAAAAATAAATAAATGTGCCACAAGTGAGCCCTTTGCGGACTCTGAAGAGAATAAGCTTCAAGGTGGGAAAAGGGATATATTTTATTACCCCCAAACTGCTGCCTGTTGGGGAAGATGGGGGGGGGCATGAGGTCATCCTTCCTGGTTAAAATAACCTTTAGATACCAATGGATGGGGGCAGAGAAGACAGGTCACCTGGTTTATTAAATTAATAGCGCTCACCCACTGCTCATGGGTTGGGGTGACACAATCCTATTAAATTTAACTAGTAGCCACCACTCAGATTATAGATATAGGCATCAGGGGAATCCGGCCCTTGCCCCCCATTTTGCAGGCCCTCTCCTTGTGGGATGGAAATGACTGCCCACTGGCTTCTCACTGTTTAGTAGCAGCAGGGCCGGTCTTAAGCCACACAGTTGCAGGGAGTCCGTCACACATACTCCATTACAAGCAGACAGCCAAACTCACTTGGTTACAGGCATGCTGACACTTGCGCACACACTCACTACATTAAAGGCAGACAGTCACACATACAGGCATACACAACAGCACAGCTACAGTGACACAATTGGAGTCACGCAGGCAGGCCGACATCCACGCAGACACACTCACCACCCTACCCCCCCTCCATAATACTGCCCTGCCCCCCTCTACCACCTTACCTCCATTATACTGCCCATGTCCTCCCCTCTACAGCCCCGCCTCCATAATGCTGCCCATGCCCCCCTTCTACAGCCCCTGCCTCCATTATACTGCCCTTGCCCCCCCTCTACAGTCCCTACCTCCATACTACTGCTCTTGTCCCCCCCTCTAAAGCCCCTGCCTCCAATATACTGCCACTGTCCCGTCCCCCTCTACAGTCCCTGCCTCCGACTCTACAGCTCCGGCATCCATTATACTGCCCCTGTCCTCCCCCATACTGCCCTGCCACCATAATATAAACCCTGTCCCCTCTACAGCCCCTGCCACCATAATTCTGCCCTGTTCCCCTCTAGAGTCTCAGTCCTCCGCTTCTACAGCCCTGCCTCCATTATGCTGCCCCTGTCCTCCACTCTACAGCTCCTGCCTCCAATATCCTGTCCCGCCCCTCTACAGTCCCTGCCTCCATTATACTGCCCTTGTACCCCCATACTGCCCCT